GTTTTGCTCTCGTTGCCCAGGCTGTAATCCCAGCTACTCAGGAGGCTGAGGCAGGAGAATTGCTTGAACCCGGGAGGCAGAGGTTATGGTGAGCCGAGATCCTGCCACTGCACTCCAGCCTGGGCAACAAGAGTGAATTACAGGCATGCCCCGCTCTGCCCAGCTCATTTTGTATTTTTAGTAGAGATGGGGCTTCTCCATGTCGGTCAGGCTGGTCTCAAACTGCCGACCTCAGTTGATCTGCCTGCCTCGGCCCCCCGAGTGCTGGGATTACAGGTGTGAGCCACCATGTCCAGCCAGTTCCATAAGGTTTTAATACCATATTTTTGCTGTAACTTTTCTATGTTTAGATTATGTTTAGAACACATGAATACTTACCATGTGTTACAGTCACCTACGGTATTCAGTAGAGTAACATGCTATACCTGTTGTAACCTAGGAGCAATAGGGTCTACCATACAGCCTAGGTATGTAGCAGACCCTACCATCTAGGTTTGTGTAAGTGCACTCTATGATATTTACACAATGATGAAATAACCTAGTGACACATTTCTTAGAAGCATCCCCATCGTTAAGCGACGCATGACTTTACTTTTAGCAGGAGTGTATGTAACCAAAAAACAAATTAACAGCAGAAATATCATTTTAAAAATCTACAATATTAAGGTTTGGTCAGAGGTCCAAAGAAGTTCATCCAAGTTTCTGACATTTTACACAACTATACAGGTTATTCAATTTCAGAAGCCCACCTGCAAGGCAGGGTCCCTTTAGATCCTGCTCCTGTCAGTGAAAAATGATGCCAGCCTCCTGGTACTTGAATCACACGTGGTTCTGTACCCTGGCTTTCCAAACCAAACTCATTTAGCAACCTAGGGTAACTTCCATGACCTCTCAAATGAGAATACCATGCAACAGGGCATGAGTATGAAGCCCCTAGCAGTGTCCAGTGTGTGGTGGTAGCTCAACAGTCATTCCTTCCATTTTTACGGTCCTAAAAGATTTTCATCCTAAGGGGCAGGAACATAGCCATCTTCAGATTAATGTTGGGATTGCCAGGATATCCAATGAAACAAAACCAACTCTTTTTATACATGAGAGTGAAGATTTCAGTGTGTGTCCATTTTCCTATATACCTGTCCCCTAAGACCTCTAGTTTTATGGAAATTTAACCTTTTATGGAATATACCACATTTACCAAATTTAACCTTTTATGAAATTAACCAATTTATGGAACTTGTACAAATTATTTATCTTCACATAATTAAAACTGTAACTCATGGATTCTGAAACTTACATTATCTGAAATTCACATCACATGTCTATCAATCAGTTGCTGCTGATTTTGGTGTAAGGGTTCACATTTTCAGCCAGGCGCGGTGGCTCATGCCTGCAATCTCAACACTTTGGGAGGTCGAGGTGGGCGGATCACCTCAGGTTGGGAGTCCGAGACCAGCCTGACCAACATGGAGAAACCCCATCTGTACTAAAAATACAAAAATTAGCCAGGTGTGGTGGTGCCTGCCTGTAATCCCAGCTACTCGGGAGGCGGAGGCAGGAGAATCGCTTGAACCTGGGAGACGGAGGTTGCGGTGAGCCGAGATTGCGCCATTGCACTCCAGCCTGGGCAAGAAAAAAAAAAAAAAAAGATTTCACATTTTCAGAGTATGACCTATCTGGAATATATACATAAGGAAATATTCCATAATTGTTTTAATTCCAGGATAAATTTACCTAGGAAAGATAGGAATATTTTAGAGAACCCCACCTTTTTTTTCTTTTCATTATGCTGCTATAACCTTGTGAATCAACCAGATGCAACTTTTCCCTATGCCCCACAGTTCAGGAAAAGACAACCCAGAGCCTACAGAGTTTTGGTTCCCACCCAGCCTGGTCACTGCCACTCATCTGGGTCCCCGTGTCCTCACTGTGAAAACATAGCCTTGGACCAAATATTGTGTAAGGAGATTTCAAGCCCTAAAATTCTATGATGAGTCATCAAGTAATGAACGACAAACTAACCAGGGAGGCAAACTAAAATACATTTCCTGTGGCCAAATTCTCAGAGCCCAGAGGTCAACTTATCAAAAAGGGGGAGGAGTCAAACAGTTGAAGAGCAGTGCCACACACACAAAACAAGTGTCAGCTCGGAAATAGTTTTCTGCCCCTATCTAAACGTGACAAAAATCAAAATATAAATAGGGTTTAAAACTTTAATGTGCTGCCGGGCGCAGTGGCTCAAGCCTGTAATCCCAGCACTTTGGGAGGCCGAGGCGGGTGGATCACGAGGTCAAGAGATCGAGACCATCCTGGTCAACATGGTGAAACCCTGTCTCTACTAAAAATACAAAAAAATTAGCTGGGCATGGTGGCGCGGGCCTGTAATCCCAGCTATTCAGGAGGCTGAGGCAGGAGAATTGCCTAAACCCAGGAGGCGGAGGTTGCGGTGAGGTGAGATCGCGCCATTGCACTCCAGCCTGGGTAACAAGAGTGAAACTCCATCTCAAAACAAAAAACAAACAAAAAAAAACTTTAATGTGTACACTCAGGACACAGACTTCCTGTTCCCAAGAAGGGAAGATATTTTTGCATAATTACAAAGTGTAGCCCTATACCTTGTCCGTTCATACTATACAAAGCATATTATTATACTTGCAAAATACGAAAATGTTTACATGGTATAATTATGTGTATTTATGACACTTTAATTTTAATTTTAAAAAATATATAAAAGGAATTTCATTAGGCTTAGATAAGCTGAGACTACACAAAAGTTTTCCAGGCTATTTAATCAAGTAACTTACAATGTACACATTCCCGAGTATACACCATTGTGGTGACATCATTTGTTTCAGAATTTCCTGCATTCAGCTTAAAAGGTGCTTCTTCCCAAGCAACTGCACTTTTCTGTCAAATGCACTTGATCGAATAGGAGAATTGGGTTCATAAAATGGATTCATTGAAAACTTTACATATAAATCATAAATGTCAGCAAAGAAGTTCTTTATTCCATCTTCTTGTCTTATGTCATGCAGCATAATAAATCTCATATGCCCTGCAGTGACAAATGCTGACACAAACCACTCGTTGAACTTGTCCACCGTTTTCAAGTACATGTTGTTCGACAGCCACATGTTCTCATCTATGAGGTCGAGAGCAGCATGAGCTATCAACTGGTTCAGATGACGATGGTCATCTTTGGATTCTGACTTCCCAGCTGGCAAAAACTCCATTTCAAAAACTGGATTATCATGGTGGCCAACGATTACAAAGTAGAAGCTCCCAGACATGGTCTTCAATATATGGCTCCTGCAGCAAGAGGCCGACAATGGAAACGCAATCAATTTTAATTTTTTTTTTTTTTTGAGATGGAGTCTAGCTCTGTCACCTAGGCTAAAGTGCGGTGGCACAATCTCAGCTCACTGCAGCCTCCATCTCCTGGGTTCCCAACATTTAAACAAGTTACTCTCAAAAGACCAGAATGTCATGGAGGAATTTATTTTTCTGTACTTCTAGGGAGCTGCACGAACCACTCCCTTGTAGTATCTATTCAAAACAAGAGCCACTCCTTTAAAATCCCTGGTAGTCTGGGAAACTGGGTGGTTTTCTAATACTGAGCCCCTAGGTCAGTCTGAAAGGTCTCCTCCTCCTCCAGGTCAAAGCAAAGGACTGTGACCCTATGGTTTCTGCTGATTTATTTGCCCAGCACTGCACAGCCTCCCACGTCTCTAGCTTCTTTGTTGCCCCTACAAACATGTAGATCATATTAAATTTAAGGCCTTCACTGATTTCCTTAGGGGAAACAGAGGAACAATCAACATGGGAACCAACCTTAAGAAAAAGTGCTTAAAGAGTTGCTGATGTCTAGCTTCAGGCACAGCCCCCTACTTCCTTATTTTGTAGTACTTAAAGTAAAAGCCCACAACAATAGAAGTCAGAGAGCCCCTTCCTGAGGTGCTCTACAAGAATTTGCATTTCTGAGAGGCTTCCAAGCGGCCTTACTCAAATTCATCTTTCTTTTCCCCAGGCTGGCAGTTAACTGAGGAATTGCAGGATAAAACGTTAAAGTGCTGGTGAAAAATAGGGATTGCTTACAGATGTTGTAGAATTTGGGGCCAAGAAATCTAAACACTGCCCTCCAATCTTCTCACCCTTTTAGAAGCTACCACGGACAACTGTTTAAAGGCCTTCTGAAAGGACAGTTTTTGGTTAAGTTCCAGGAAGATAGAGCATTATTTTAATCCAGTAGAAAAAGAAGAGGATATGACCCTACAGCGTGCCAGATAAAAAAGTTCAGGGACTAAATTTGCCCCTTGCTTCAATACTTCATAAGATAATTGGACCTGTCGACACCTCGGATGTACACAGCAATGAGTGTATAAAATTACTGAGTTAAGGCGGTGCTGGTTTCCGAGATGAGAAACTCTGAGGTGCAGACCACTAGGGCATATTGTGCTACCAGGGAAGTTTTATCGAGTCCTTAAGAAGCCCTGCTTGGTCTTTTTGAAGGCTGGGTATAGGTCGATAAATGGAGCGTAGTTGTTTAAACAGTTCTACTAAAGTTCTGACATCAACTCTAGCTTAAATCTATATAGCTGCAGGTAATGTAATCAGGCCATACTCTTCCAAGCTGGCAGCCATGGCAAAAGTCCCTTTCTCTTGGCGCGAAATACAAGGAAATCCAAGAACTACTTTAAGCTCTATATGCCAAAGACCCGGAGTTAAGTTACTAGGGTGGGGATGTGTAAAGGTCTGGTGACTCACTAAAGTCAGCTGGGACCTGGGGTGCTGGCACCCAGAGGATACAGAAGAAACAAAAGTTGGGGGGCTGGCGAAGGTCGCGAACACACTTGATCTCTGATTGGCGGAGCCGCTCAGAGTTTTCTTTATGGCGTCACCGAGTACCTGCCTGTAGAAAGGCCCCGTCTCCGTGACGTCACGCCCTGCTGGCCAATCAGAGGCCTCGGTCTGCGGGCCCCGAGGAGGGTTGTGGGCCCTTTTTTGTGAATGAAGCGCCGCGGAGCAGCCCTGCCGGGGTCCCCGCGAGCCGCGTCCCGCTGTGCCCAGGCGCCTCCGCAGCGGCGTCCGCGTCCGCGTCAGCGGGGGGCGCGCACGGTTACCCCGGGCAGCCCCGGCCGCCAGCGGCAGCCCCGTCGCCTCGGCCGCGCTAGCGGGCTGAGGGCACCTGGGGGCGGGCTGGGGGCGCCGGCCGCGGCAGGAGGCGCTGTAGCGAGGGCTGCGGCGCGGGTTCCGCGGCGGCGGCGGCGGCGGGAGGGAGCGGGGCAGGCGCCGTGGGCCGGGCCCCTCCTCCGGCTCCTGCGCGGCCGGCGCCCGCCGTCCCCGCAGCGCCGCTCTGCGCCCGCCGCCCCGAGCGCCCGAGCGGGGCTGACGAGAGCCTCGGCGGGCGCGCGGGCGGGCGCGCGGGGCCATGGTCGTGGCCCCCTGACGGGCCGCGGCCGCCTCCATGAAGCGGAAGAGCGAGCGGCGGTCGACCTGGGCCGCCGCGCCCCCCTGCTCGCGGCGGGGCTCGTCGACCTCGCCGGGCGTGAAGAAGAGCCGCAGTTCCGCGCCTCAGGACCCGCGCCGCCTGGACCCCGAGGACGACGTGTACCTGGACATCACCGGTGAGCCGGCCACCGGGCGCGGAGGGCCCCGGACGGCCGCACCCGGCGCGGGGCCCTGGCCCACCTCCCGGGTTGCCCCGGGCCTCCGGGGGCCGGCCGAAACGCCTCCGCGCCCACCCTCCTAAACGCTGCGTCCGCCACACCCCCTTTGGGAGCCCGGCTCCCAGGGAGCGCCCCCCACCCCAAGTTTCCAGTTGCGTGGGCTGCGAGCTGTAACTTTAGCCGGTGCTACAGCGAGATGAACCGAGGGTCACCTTTCTTGGTTGCGGGCGTCAGCCCGGCGCCTCGAACCTGCAGGTCCTCCCCGCGGGCTGCTTCTGAGAGCCTGTGGATTTCGCCTCCCGGGGTTGCCAGCCCGGTTGGCCCTCGCGCGAGTCACAATCAGTCCCGGAGGATTCACCGAGCGCGCTGAACGCGCCTGGCACGGGAGCTGCCCCTTTTTGCCGTTGGCCGTACCCCCGCTGCTCCGTAGCCTCCAGGACCCCGGGGCGCCGCGTTCCCTGGCCGGCGCGGAAGCCCGAGCCCTTCTCCCAGTTGTCCTGCGCCCTGGCCACCAGCGCGACCCCCGCAGGTCTGCGCCTCCCGGGGTCTTCTCCCCTCCGGGGCCTCGAAAAGGAAGGTGTCACGTTAATGGCATTCGAGCCAGCCGAATGCCCGGGTTGTCACTTGAGAAATCCCTGCCAGCCAGAGCAGGTAGCCTAGCAGCCCTTCGATAGCTGTTCTGTTAGTGCTGATTCGATCGTTCTTGGAGACTCATAAATCCAATTTGGCAGCTGTTAGGTTTGCTGAGATTGACAGTGACGCGTGTGAAGGCATTAAATGTGATGATGTATGTGGCAACGCTGTGTAAACAGCAGAGCTGTCCACGGTTTTGAGGGAATTGGCAGTCTTTCTGTGGTGGGGAATGTGTCAACCTCGGGGCATGGCGTTATTAAAAACTGTTTCCCGCCCTTAGCCTTTGATAAACCAGGTGAGCTGGAGTGGCGAGAACATTGAGTTGAGTGTTAGGACAAACGCAGATGTTAAGGAGAAATAATATTCTAGGTTCATGGACGGTCTGGAAACTAAGGTCCATTTGGAACGAAGCTGAGAGCAGAGCAGGTTTGCTGGCTTTGGTGGGTGGCCCTTGGGAGCCAGGGCGGGCAGAGGAAGGGGTAGCCCTGAGTACCAGTCCCTGGCAGTTAACTGTGGGGCCTGGGTGCGTGGTGGCGCTGCAGGAGGTGAAGCCTGCTGAGGCTGAGAACCAGGTCCTTCCAACGTTGTGTACTTCCGAGGAGAGGGCCTCGCCAAGGACGGGTGGGGCTGGGAGCGGGTGTGCCTACACATTGCTTCTGCCTGTTATTATTTATCCCTTTTAAAACGATCTCTGTTGAATGGCATTTAATTTTAGGACAAATAATTCATTTTATATGGTACGGAACTCCAATTCTAAAGGTGCACAGAAGAATATACAGAAAAGTTGGTCTTACAGCTTCCAGGGGTCTTTCTCTAGAGGCAACTACTCTTCCCAGTTCCTGCAGGCATACCACATTTGCTATATATTCTCTACCATACACGTGCGAGTAGCACACAACATGTTGTGCACATGGTTCCATTTTCATAGTGTTTTTTATTAAAATGATTGTTCTGAATTGGTGCATACAAGACTTACTTGATTTTAATTACCAGTTAGTCCAGTGTACATACGGTTTTATGAATAAAACCATTTAAAAGTACATAGGGATTTAAATTATATATAGATTTAAATGTTTTTTAACTTATTTAGACAGTCCCTGTTGATGAACGTTCAGTCAGAGGGTTTGTGACAGCAAAGTCATTGGAGTAAATAAATGTTTCTCCTTGATGGAGATCAAATGTGATGTGGCTAGCCTTCGTGAGGCAGTCACCAATTAATTAACTTCAGAAAAATGTAACCAAGCAGAATACTGAGGAGAGGTGCATTATATGAAATAAAAATGCTATCAGATTTCCAACTCTAATAATGGAAGGGTCCAACTTTAATGTAAGGGAGCTCCAGGGAAGTAAAGGTTATAGTCACCTTTCCTTGTGACTTCTCTAGGTGTCCCTCAGTGATAGTCTTGGCTTCCTGGAAAAATGATACTTAATCAGTCTGTTGCAGTGTGATATACAAGGCCAATTAAAGTATATTCAGATGCAGTGTTCAGATTACTTTTTATTGGGCTTTGGGGGAAGGCTTGAGGCCTGTCCTCAGCAAATGGCAACTAGTCCCTTCCTTCCCAACCTGTTTTTCCCTCCATTATTGTTTTCTTAATTTAAAAAGCAGTGCATGGCTGGGCGTGGTGGCTCACACCTATAATCCCAGCACTTTGGGAGGCCGAGGAGGGTGAAGTCAAGTGATGGAGACCATCCTGGGCAACATAGCGAAACCCCGTCTCTACTAAAATACAAAAATTAGCTGGGCGTGGTGATGCACACCTATAGTCCCAACTACTCGGGAGGCTGAGGCAGGAGAATTGCTTGAAGCCAGGAGGCGGAGGTTACAGTGAGCTGAGATCACGTCACTGCCCTCCAGCCTGGTGCCTGGCAAAAGAGAGAGGCTCTGTTTCAAAAAAAAAAAAAAAAAAAAAAAAAGCAGTGCATGTACACTTCCAAACATTATTAAATGAGTCTTATAGAGTCTCCCTCCCTTGGTAATGATTTTCATCCTTCAATTTTCTGTGCACATTAAAGTTTCTAGAAATTGTGCCATACCAGCAGGATTTGTTTTGTTTTGTTTTTTGAGACAGAGTCTTTCTCTGTCACCCAGGCTGGAGTGCAGTGGCGCCATCTCAGCTCACCACAACTTCCACCTCCCGGGTTCAAGCGATTCTCCTGCCTCAGCCTCCTCAGTAGCTGGGAATACAGGCGCATGCCACCATGCCCAGCTAATTTTTGTATTATTAGGAGAGACGGGGTTTCAGTATGTTGGCCAGGCTGGTCTCGAACTCCTGACCTCGTGATTCATCTGCCTTGGCCTCCCAAAGTGCTGAGATTACAGGCCTGAGCCACTGCACCTGCTGATTAATTTTTTGATGGTTGCATTGTATGGCTGCATCATGATTTATTTAGTGGTAATAAATAGATGGTTATTTGGGAGTTTTCCAGTCCTTATTGCAAATGGCTACAGTAGCATCAGTGTATGTGTCTGTCTACATGTGTGACTATATCTATAGAGTACATTTCTAGAAGTGACGATGCCAGGCCAGAGTACATATAGACTTTATCCGTTCCTCAGTGGACTTTTTGGCTATTATGAATAATGCTGCTGTGAACATTCATATACAGGTTGTTGCATGGACAGGTTTTCAGTTCCTTTGGATATCAAACCTAGGAGTAGAATGGCAGGGTCATATGGTAACTCCATGTTTAATGTTTGAGGAACTGTCAGACTCTTTTTGCAGAACGAGGCTACACCACTAGCATTCCCCCCAGCAATGTACCAATTATTCTACATCCTCGCCAACACTTATTATTGGATTGACAGGATTCTTTCACAGTGGAGTAGTTTTGTAAAAATTAATACATGTTGTCACTTCTGTCCAGCCTGCCCTTAAATACATCATTTTAAAACTTTAGTCCTTTGACATTTTTATTGTAACCTATTTAATCTGTAAATTGAATTCCCATAGATCCCAGGATACTTCATGTGTGTGTATTTAACATAGGATGCTTCATGCCTATTTTTGTTTCTATCGTCATCTGTTATATGTCACTATCATTTAGTGTCTAGCCGCCCACACCACTATACTGGGCATTTACTCTTACTAGGAGCAGACTACAGGGTTTAATTTGCACCCCAACCGCATCCACCTCTCACGCAGCCAATTCATTCAGTTCTTGCATTGTGCACATGGATTTTTTTTACTTGAGCTGTACTCCTAGTGCAGTTTCAGTGCACCATGAAAATAAAAAGTCATAAAGACAGTGTAGGCTGAGCGCAGTGGCTCACATCTGTAATCTTAGCACTTTGGGAGGCCAAGGCAGGCAGATCACCTGAGGTCAGGAGTTCCAGACCAGCCTGGCTAACATGGTGAAACCCCATCTCTACTAAAAATGCAAAAATTAGCTGGGCATGGCGGCACCCGCCTGTAGCCCCAGCTACTTGGAAGGCTGAGGCAGGAGAATCCCTTGAACCTGGGAGGTGGAGGTTGCAGTGAGCAGAGATCGAACCACTGCATTCCAGCCTGGGTGACAGAGAGAGACTCCATCTCAAAAAAACAAACAAACAAACAAAAAAACCAGGCAGTGTAAACTGTAAGCGTTAATGCTAAAAAGATGCTGAGTAAAGATCAGAATGAGCTGTTACCAGTCTAGGAAACTTGAGGAAGTGGGGAGGTTAAGGAGAGTTTTCAAGGAAAAAATACTGCATTTTTCTCTGAACCTTGTTCATGTCAGAGGTCTGAATCTTTGTCTATTTTCCTATCCCATAAATAGGGACTTCCATTCATGGCAGTTTACTTCCTCCTTTACTCAGGAAAAAAAAAATACTTAAAGACTTTAACATTACTGCATATATCTATGTTCGATAATTTATAAGATGGAATAGTTGGTGCAGAGCTTCTATTTATTTTACTATTTTTATTTTTAAAATTTCTGATTGGGCTGGGAGCAGTGGCCTATAATCCCAGCACTTTGGGATGCCAAGGCAGGCAGATTGCTTGAGCCCAGGAGTTCAAGACCAGTCTGGCCAACATGGCAGAACCCCTACTCCGGAGGCTGAAGTGGGAATCACTTGAGGATCACTTGAGCCTGGGAGGTCAAGGCTGTAGTGACCTGTGTTCATTCCACTGCACTCTAACCTGGGCAACAGAGACACGATAAAACCCTGTCTCAAAAAAAAAAAAAAAAAAAGAAAAATTCTGATTAGTAAAGAATATTGGTAATAGCTACTGGCTAAAAGGTTCTTGGTGGTTGTATTAAATTTATTTACCTTTTTAAAAGTAAGTTTTTCAGTGTCTGCTGTGATCTGACTTTTAAAGACTGTATTATAACAGTAAATA